AGACTGATGACCATCCTTACTATAGAGCGTTTTATCAACTGTAAAAATGCGATTTTACTACCATTCGATTTGTCTTGATGAGCTGATTCCAATGAGCTATAGATCATCTTGATTGGATCAGTTACTATTCACAAATAAGTTTGTAATCAATTGTATCAGTATTTTAAGAATTTTAATTCTATCTATCACCAGTTTTAATTTTTAACATCTCCACTAAGGCTCCGATTAGTTTAGTTCAGTACGGTTTTTATCAAAACTAAAACTGAACTGAATTGATTGGTATCAGTATTGTTAATTACTGAAACCAATCAGTTTCAGTAATCATCAATACTGAAACTGACTGGTAAATACCAAAAACTGAACTGATTTACCAATTCATTATTAGTTTAGTTTTTAACGTTTTTGCAAAACATTTTTTTAATTAATTAACTAATAAAAAATATTTCGATTAAATTATTGAAAAAAAATGTTACAAAACATTTTTTTTTAAATAAATTAACAAATAAAAATGGTTCGCAACATTTTTATTAAATTACAAAAAAAATGTTGTGAAACATTTTTTTTTAATTAATTAACTAATAAAAAATGTTTTGTAATGTTTTCTATTATATTATCGAAAAAAACGTTGTAAAATGTCTTTTTTTTAATAAATTAACAAATAAAAACATTTTGCAACATTTTTATTAAATTATCAAAAAAAAAATGTTGTGAAATGTTTTTTTTAAAATTAATTAATTAATAAAAATGTTTTGTAACGTTTTTATTAAATTATCAAAAAAAAATATTATGAAACGTTTTTATTAAATTGTCAAAAAAATGTTTTGTGATGTTTTTTATCATGACACAAAATGTTCAGCAAATCAGTTCAGTAAATTTACTGAAATGATCAGTAAAATTTACTGAAGTGATCGGTAAAATTTACTGAAATGATCAGTAAAATTTACTAAAACTGATACCAAAAATATCAGTTCAGTAAATTAGTTCAGTAAATTGCAAAACCAATACTGAAACTAAAGTTACCGAAACTGATCAGTAAATTTACCAAAAGGTTCAGTTTGATAAATCAGAATACCAAAACCATTCTAATACCAAAACTAATCAGAGCCCTAATCTCCATATCTACTACCTAATCGTATATCTTAAAAAGGTCTTGAAATATCAATCAAATATATTTTTTATTGACTTTAGCGTCTTCTATACAAGTATTGATAATCTGTAATAATATTTCCGTGGATCTGCTAAGTAATACCGCATGATTATCACAGGACCCCGGACATCTCTAAAACAAGTCATAAGTCACACTTTTAAGTAAACATGACATAGCAGTTTTTATCTTTATTAATTATTTATCAAACTTTACAAATTTACATACAAGAAAAAAGAAAATAAAATAAAAACTAACTAAAAACAAAGCTATATAATCTTCTAGAAAGAAATTAAAATTAAAAGAAAATTCAAAAAGAAAAATCGCTAATACTAATACTTTCTAGATCTTCCTCCTTGATATATTCCAACTAAAGTAAAAGCAACTATGCTAACAAGATAACAAATGACGCACTCACTATTAAAATCGACACTCCATCCTGCAAAAGCTGTTATCAAGTAGTACTGTTAGATAACCCATAAAACCTGAAATGTGATTAAACCAAGATAATCCATATTGCATCGAGTTTTTTAACCAATCAGTTCTGGAGTCATGTGAACTAACATGAGTTAGAAGTGGTAAAGACAAATAAGGTAGGTACGAAGATTTGGGCAAACTGGCAAACCTTTAGGCCTTGAGGAATTTTTAAGTTTTGAAGTAATGTTCATCACATGTTCCCATGATTCTTTATCATAAGAACGTAGATTCCAAATTCTCTTCCAGAATTTGTTGATTAAGTTGTTTTGAATAGCAGCAATTACATTCATGGCAGTAAGACGAGGAATATTTAGATTCTCAAGTACTTCCAAAAAGGCAGAAGGCAAACAACCACAGACTAAACTATAAGAGGACCAGTTATTAGATAAGAAAGACCAACAGGGAAGAGAAGTGATTCTTTTAATTTGAATGAAATAGTCACAATTAGCATTATCACCCACTTCTTTAAGTTTAGTTGTTAGTTGAGAAAATAGAGTTGTGTTAGTACGAAGAGTAAAATTTCTTCTGCAAAATTTTTGACCAAGGATTTACAAGAATAAGTTCAGCAGATTGGGATCAAGTTACACTTTTAGGCAAACATGGTATAGTAGCCTTTATCTTTATTAAATTTTATCGAACTTTACAAATTAACATACATGATACATATGAAAAGAAAATAAAATAAAATACTAACTAAAAACAAAGCTATATAGTTTTCTAAGAAGAAATTAAAATTAAAATGAAAATTTAAAGAAAATCGCTTAATACTAACACTTCCTAGATCTTCCCCCTTAATATATTCCAACCAAAGTAAAAAAGTCACACTTTTAGCAAATTGACACATTTTTTGAGAGCTCAAAAAATCATTTTTTGTAAATATCTCAGCATCTAGTAGTCTGATTTCAATGAACTTTTTTTTAAAATTGTAGAGTTAAATGAGGGCTACAAAATAAAAAATTCTTCAAAATTGAATTACTAGATGTTGAGATATTTGCAAAATACGATTTTTTGAGTTTTAGTGAAAAGTAGTATTTTTGGCCAAAAGTCAGTTATAACTTGTTTTAGAGATGTCTGAGGTTTTATTACCACCTTTTAGTATATTTTTTTCTGCAATTACAGTTGATAACCTTTTTATAATAATCTTAACTAACGTTTTTCTTAACATCTCTAAGAGTATTATAGGTTTTGTTTTAGTCAACATGTGTTCCATTTCATAGTCTTGAGTATAGGATACAATAAGGCTTCTCTCCATTCACCCGGTATATCTTTTATTTGTAAACACATATTTGCTAATTTCAGCATTAAAGCCTTTATATTGGTATCCAAATGTTTTAACTCTTTAAGCATATATAGCAGTTATTTTTAAGTAGTAAGTAAAAGGAAAAACTTAATATTTTATATATGTAGAAAAGATATATTTTTTCATAATTTTTAGCTTTAATTTATTGTTTTTTCTTTATAAAAAATACATGCAAATAAAAAATAATTATGATGTAAAATAGTTGTAAAATGAATAATAAAATATTTTTTTTTTTCAAAATAACTAATTATATATTTGTTTTTTATCTTTTAAAATTATTTTATTAGATTTATTCTACTAAAATCTTTAAATGGTGAATAAAATCTTTTAAATAAAGTAAAAGAATTTGGGATTCTCTTATGAAAGTATTTTTTGGTAGAAAATAAAATTTTCAGATCAGACTTTGTGCAGGTAACAAAATCGTGCATTACTATTCCTGAAGATATGCTAATATTATCGTTTTACATTCATTTGAAAGCTGAGAATTTGCTCTATTGTAAGAATTAAAGATCAGGAAATTTGGATTACTAGATAAGGTGTAATTAATGATTAAAGTCAAATTAAATTTAAAAATCAAAAATAAATATATTGGACGTAATTATTCACAATTCAGTGATTCAATTCATTTGATTTTAGGCTTATTAGATAGACCTCAATTTTCTCTTTCAAATAAATATAATTTCATTCATGTAGCTTACATCTACAGGTATTTAATAGATTTTTTTACATCAGATTTTATCAAACTTATAAAATTTTATATTAATAATATAATTGATGATTACTGAACATCTACATATATTAAACAAATTATTTTAAATTTATTTTAAAGATAAAAGTTGGCATCACCTTAGGGAGCAAAGATCATTCAAATTGAATCACTACATGTGAAGTAATTAATGATCAAATTTAAATAAAATTCAATAAATATACTGAACGTGATTATTGAACAACTAGTAATTCAATTTACTTGATTTTAGATTCATTAGATAGAACTTGATTTTCTCTTTCAAATGAATATAAATTTATTTATATAGCTTATTTCTACAAAGAATTATCAATGATTTTGTCATGAGAGTTATATTTGATATTTTAAATTTTATGATATTTTATATTAAAAAAAAATTAAAAATTATATAATTAATTAGTTTTTTTTTGCATTATCTAGTATAAATTTATTATTCTTATATAAATGATAATTTATATTTACTTTAATAAAATTATTTTTGTGTAAAAAAATTAGATTTCAAGAATTGACTCATATGTTATCCTGTAATACTGGTGGTTTATAAAGTATTAAATATGCTGTAAGCAAAAAAAATATATATCTGATATATAATAAATTAAACTATAATTTTATATAGTTTAGTTAATGATAAAACTAAAATTAATTGATAATAAAACTGAAATTTTTGGCAAAAAAAGTTTAGATAGACATTATTAGAAAAAAGCATAAAAAACTCTAAACTATAATTAATAATCTTTTTAATTTAATAATACAATTACTTTATAATTACAAATTTATTAAATTTATTAAATATTTAAAATTTTAAAGAAATTAGAAAAAAAAATAATCATTTACTTTTAAAATATAAAAAAAAATCAAATATAGTATTATATAAAAAATCTTAGTTAAAAAGATACTACTTTATAATACAAATAAAGATTTAACTATTTGAAATTAAATTTAATAGGAAATTATAGAATCTTTATTAAAGATCCATAAATTTTTAAAGATCCTTAAAGGATTCTATAACTAATTTAAGAATTTTTATGAATATTTTTTATCTATAAAGAAAAAAACAATTTTTTAAAAAAATTAACTAAAAAAAATAAAATATTAAGTTATTTTTTATTAAAATGCTATTAATATTTAATGTAAAAGTTTAAAAAAATCACTATTAATCTATTAATGAAGTATTATTTTTAATTCAATGAAATTTTTTTGCTATCTAATATAAATAATAATAAATATATATTGTATATGAATAATATTCTAATATCATTAATAATTAAAAAATTAAATTTACTTTTTATAATGTAATATTAAAATGTTTTACAATAATTTATTCTAAATGATTCCATTTTTTTAATAATTAATATATTATTTAATATTGATACTATTATTTACTAAATAATTAAGCCCTAATTGCAGTTAAATTCTTTATTTTTTAAATCAAATGTCCCTTCTAAAAAAAGAGGGAAACAACTAAAATAATTTTACAATATTTTATTTTATACCCATCTTTCACAAATTTTAAAATATGAAATATATTTTTTGAAAGAAATAATTCTTACCTTTTGAATAAGAACCATTCAGCACAGTTTTTTCAATATATTATTACATTCTTTTTCATTAAGAATATCTTTACTAATTTCTTCATAATTTCTTTTCAATTGTTTAACATTATCATTACTTTCAACTTGAATGATTTCTTGAGATTCCTTTGTATTTTCATTATTATTAGTAACATCCTTTTTTTCTTGATTAAAATTTAAAATTGGTAAAGACAATCTCTTATTTGTAAACCAATCTACAGAACGATAATGAAGATGTAATACTGCTATAGGTTTTAGATTGACAATTTTTGTTACAGTAGCAGGTTGAATTTTTGCATGCATAGCATCAAATCCGGTTGTATATCCAATCTCTATATTTTTGATATCAGTTGTCTCTGGAAACTTTACTTGTTTTATCTCAAATTTTGTTTTACTTTGCAATGCATCTTGATCAACAATAATCCCTTTGAAAAAACAAACTGTTATGGAACCAGGTTTTCCATACGTATTTTTTTTTTGTTGTTGTTGAATTGAAGATTTTTTTATAATAGGAAAAGGAACTTTAAAATTATTATTATTAGATAAATCATCGATTTTGTCAAAATAAGAGAATTTGAAGAAATAAACTTTGGTTCTTTCATTATTACAAAAAAATGATCTTGTTCTTGAACCTGATTGTTGGTGAAGGTGTTGTACTTGATCAGACTGTCCATCTATAAATATACGAGAGATTATAATATTAGATGGTTTTGCCTGCTTAGCTTCAAATTTAACTGTGTAACGTTCTCCTGGCGTTATAACTGGAACATATGTAGTGAAATCACTAAAAAAATTGGAACAAATTTTATCAATTCAATCACTTATAATTTAAAATTTAATGAAAAAAAAACCAAAGAAACATTTTTACCTGTGTTTTTTCGTTTGTGTTAAAGAATCCGTAACATAAGAAATACTAGTATTCTTTAACTATTTATTTAAGAGAAAATAAATAATTTTTTCTTTAAAAGAAAAAATTATTATTTTTAAATCTCAATCAACTTACATTAGATTCATTAATTGGGAGATTATATTCTGGTAAAGGTTGTTCATTTACCAAAATTTCAAGATTAAATCCTTGTAAATGCATACTTTTTTCTTTTGATTTTATTATGAAAAATTATAAATTATTGAGGAAAAAATAAATTATTTTTTTAATAAAAAAAAAATTTGAAGATTTAAGATTATTTTTTTTTATTATAAGCGGAAAATATCACTTACTATATTTTACTACCAAAATTATTAAAAATTATTACAATTTACACAAAAATTTTAAAAGATTTTAAAAAATTTTTTTTTGTGAAGATCCAAAAATATCAACGAAAAGAGCTTGTAATACGTAATCATTACTTTATAGATTACGGAATCAGGTTTAAGTGGCTTAGATAAAATGAATTTCATTTGATTGGCTGGACAAATGTATTAAATGTGTTTCTGAAGAAGGGTTTTACCTTTTTTTGTTGTACACCACACGAAATTTTCAAAATAAAAGGTTTGGTTTAATCTTAAATTATTTCATTTTTTTAAATTTTTTTTATTTTTAGAATTTTTCTTATTATTTAAATACTCATCCTAACCCTAACCTAACATACCCCTAACGTGTGACACATTATGAATGACAAATAGAATCTTATTCGTGCAAAGTTGTTGGGTGTAATACATGGTTTTTCAAACACTACACTTACGTAAATCAACTCGTAAATTATTTACTCTATAAAATAAATAATCCAAAGTTAATATGAAAGAAATCGAAAAATACATAAAGAATTCGTTATTTTAACGATGGGTCAGATCTGATTTAACAATTCATCGTAAACTCTTTCACTCATTAGTGCAGAATTACCGTGATATATTTTTTTTTTCCATCATCCCCAAATTAACCATTGAACATTGAATAAAAGTTTTATATCTTTTTTACCTTTTATATTTCATAAAATTATAGCTTTGCCGAATTTTAATTTTATTTTAAATTTTAAGGCTTGTAAAATAAACGAGAAGGTCATTTTCATAGATAATGTAATTAGTATTTCTTACAGAAAAAAAATTATATTGAAAAAAAAAAATATTTTGGAGCAAAGAATTTTTTTTATTCATTTTTATTTCCATATTTTGTTTATACCGTCTTTAAAATGGATATATTAATTAATAACCAATCAAAGCTCGTTATTTTGCTGCGGCATAAAAGCTTTATTTTGTTTTGTGAGACCTTGTACTTTCATCATGAATTTCAAATGAAATTCCAAAATCAGTAAAAGAGTTAATAGATTATAATGTGGCACATGACCATCTTAAAACTTGCATCAATATAAATGTGCTAGTTCCGAACACTTAAAATTTTTATTCCTACTAAACTAATATTTTTTTCGGAATTTATTAAAAGGTAGATATATTTGATTCTCCACATTTACGGACTATAATATATTTAGTTTAAATCTAACACGTGATTGATTAAAATAAACTATAAAAACAAATATGTGAAATATTTTTTCGCTTACTTTCTTAAAAATTTCTTTCCTATTATTATTAAAAAAAAAGACTCAAATTCACTTTTTCAGATTTTATTGGATAATAATTAATTATGCGATTAGATGGGTTTCAACTTGAAGTTTTGGTAAATGGTCAACCTTTGGAAGAATATAATCTTCCGATAAATGAATCAAATGTAAATAATTGTTGAATTTTTTGTCAATTTGACGGAAGTGTGGACTTTCTTTTATTTATTTACTTACTTATTTATTTATTATCAGCCCACAACTGATTCGTCTTATGTATTGGATGAATCAACAAGACAAAAAACATATAGGTAAGTAAGACAAATGGATTATTAATGCAAGTCATTTTTTTTCTTCAATGTATAAATTTTTTAATCATTCATAATCATTATAGTGATGATGTAACATATATCGCTGTTAAACCGGAAATGAAATATTCCATTAGGTTTTCTTCTTCAAGAGCATCTATGTGGTCTCCTCTAATGGCATATGTATATGTTGATGGAGAATATGATTATACTTATCGAGAAGTTTCAAATTCATCACCTCGAGAAAAAGATTGTTTTTGGAATAATACACTTAGTAAGAAATATTTTTTCAAATTTGAAATTTCTCAATTATATGAGATAGATAATCCAGAAATACCTCTTCAGAGAAAACCATATGGTGGATTAGGAGCAATTTCAGTTTATTTTTATAAAGCGAGAGTTATACCTCAAACGCCAGTTTATATACCTAATTTTTCTGTAAATCAAGTAAAAGTAGCTGAAGCAAAATCAACTTGTGGTATTAAATTTACAACGGCATTTGAGGAAGCCGAAGGATTTTCTAATCGACAAGCTGTGGCAACAATGGAAAGACAAGGTGACGAACCCGTTGCTGTATTGCATCTACATTATCGTCCTGCTACTTGGCTTTCAATTAGAGGATGCAATTTACCAGAAATCGACCAACCAAACCATCTTTCTCCAAGTGTTCCCGGATTGTTGGGAGATGTAAAACCATATTCTTTTAATATTAAAGGAGAAGAACCTCAAAGTCCTACAGTGGTAAAGACGAAATATAAAATTATTAGAGCTGCTGTTATACATTCAGATAATGTAATTGAAGTTACTGACGAAAGCGAAAATAGAAATAATAATGAGGTTATCGATTTGGAAAATTATACACCAAAAAATAAACGAACATATACAAAGGAGGTTGATGTCATTGAATTGTTGGATTCTGACGAAGAGGAAGAAGAAAATCCTTCCAAGATTCTTCGTATTGAATGATATTTTTTCTCGTGTTTTTATTTATTTAATTTATCTGTGATGTGAATATAATAAATGTAAAATTTTTTATATCGGCTAATGTAAAACATTATTAACATTATTAGCCGGACTTTTAAATATGACAACAGTAGTTAACTGACGTAAATTCGACGTAAATCACTACCTGATTTAGATGATTTACATTTTGTAAAAAAAAAATTCAATCTCTTCATCTTGTTTTTTTAAATCAAATTTTATCAAAAATAAATCATAAAATTTTAAATTATATAAAGCATGAATTCATTGCTTATTCGTCGAAACTTTCAAAAACTTCAAAAAGTAACTTCACCTCATAATAATAAAATATTAAATTTTATTTGTAAAAAGTCTTATTCGCGTGTCGTTGGTGAAGGTAGTAATATCGATATATTTATACATATATACATATATTTTTATTATTAAAACAATCAAATTCTTATTTTTTTCTTGATTTTTATATTTTTACATCTTTTAGAGTTTAAACTTAATGATAAACTTCATGGGTTTCGTGTTGAACAGGTATATTTTCTTATCGTAAATTTAAGAAAAGAAATTTTATATAATATTTGATTTTTAATTTTAGATAAATCATATACCAGAACTTGAACTAACAGCAACACAGCTTATACATGAAAAAACGGGTGCTTCGCATTTACATATTGCAAGAGATGATAACAATAATGTATTTGGTGTAGGTTTCTCCACACCTCCTATGAATAGCAGCGGGACTCCTCACATATTAGTAAGTAAATATTTTAAATTAAATTTCTTTTGTTATATAATTTTACAGTCGAATTTTTTTTAAATAATACAGGAACATACAACATTATGTGGAAGTAAAAGGTTTCCGGTGAGAGATCCATTTTTTAAAATGTTGAATCGAACTTTAGCAAATTTTATGAACGCTATGACAGGTATAATTTACATTATATTTTTATTTGGTTGGTTAATTGTTTTCTCATTTTTTAAATTTTATTCAGCAAATGATTATACAATTTATCCATTTTCAACAACACATAAACTTGATTATGATAATTTAAGAGATGTTTACATGGATGCAACATTTCATCCTTATTTGAGAGAATTGGATTTCAAGCAAGAAGGGTGGAGACTTGAACATAAGCAACCTAATGATAAATCAACACCTTTACAATTTAAAGGAGTTGTATATAATGAAATGAAAGGTGTAATGGTAAAAAGATTTTTTATAAACTTTGTTAACTTTATTATAATAAAATAAAGTAATTATTCTTATTATATATTAGTCAGATGCAGGATATTTATTTTATAATGGGGTACAAGAAAATATGTTTTCAGGCACAACTTATGGAAATAACAGTGGGGGTGATCCAAAATATATAACCGATTTAACATATCAAGAACTTTTACAATTTCATAAAACTCATTACCATCCAAGTAATGCAAAGTTCTATACTTATGGTAAGATATTTAGAATATTAAAAAGTCTTTTATGTTTATAAATGTGTATAATTTACTTTATTATCAATATTTTATAGGAAATTTTCCATTAAGTGATCATTTAGCAACAATTAATAATAAAATTAGAGGGTTTGAGAAATCAAGTCTTGATGAGGGTATAAAAAATGTTAAACCATTTGGTTCTTCTCCAAAAAGGATTAGTTTATATGGACCTCTTGATCCAAGTAAGAAATTGGTTTCAATTAAAATTCATTATGTATTCAAATGAAATTATTTTTATTAATTTTATTATAATTAATTAGTGATTAATTCTGAAAAACAGACTAAAATGTCCATGTCATTTTTGACTAATAATATAAATGTAATGTACTATTATATTATGATTCATTATTTTGTTTAATTTTTTTTTTAATTTGAAATTTTTTTTTGTAGGATACTTTTGAAACTTTTGTTTTAAAAATATTTAGTTATTTATTATTGGATGGCCATGCATCTCCAATGTATAAAGCACTTATAGATGGAAATATTGGATCTGATTTCTCTGAAAATACCGGATATGATTCTTCAACTAAGTAAATTATTATAAATTAAGTATGAAATTTATTATAATAATTATTGATTTATATAAACATATCAATTATAGAATAAGCTATATGAGTATTGGATTACAAGGAATGAATGAAAAATATGTTCCATTGGTAATTATTATTATATATTTTTTATACAATGTCTTATATTGCTAATATTTGAAGTTTTTCTTATTAATAGGCTGAAGAAACTATAAATAAAGTATTGGAAGATGTGTCACAAAATGGATTTGATTCAAAACGTATTGAAGCAGCAATACATCAAACTGAATTAAGTATAAAACATGTAAGTTGATTATAATATTATATAAAAGTCTAATAAATATGTTATTAATATTTTTTATTATAGAAAACTGCATCTTTTGGTTTAAGTCTTATGCATTTAATAAGTTCTGGATGGTTTAATGGTAGCAATCCTGCTGAATTTCTGGAAATTAATAATGTAAAAAATAACTATTTTGTTATTATTGCATTATCATGATTTTAAGTTGTTTTTTAATATATATATATATATTTTAATTTTTAGAATATTAAATTATTAAGAGAAAAATTAAAGACAGAACCATTCTTTCAAAATTTAGTAAAAAAATACTTTATAAATAATCCACATACACTTATATCAGTAATGACACCAGATTCATCATATACAGAAAAATTATTAAAAGAAGAACAATCCCGATTAGAAGCTAAAACATCAACACTTACATCAGAAGAAAAAGAAAAAGTTTATATGCAATCAATAGAGTTGTTAAAAAAGCAAGAAGAAGAAGAAGATTTATCTGTTTTACCAAGTTTAAAAATACAAGACATAGATAAACAAACGAAAAAATTTGAATTGAAATTTACTGATGTTAATAAATGTCCTGTACAATGGAGAAATACAAGTACAAATGAAATAACTTATTTTAGGATTATTAATAAAATTGAAGGATTAAAAGAAGATTTAAGAATTTATTTGCCTTTATTTGCTCAAGCATTAACTTCTTTGGGAACAAAATCTAAAACTATGGCAGTAATTGATGATGATATAAGATTATATACTGGTGGCATAAATGTTTCAACTTTTTTATCAACAAATCATTCTGGTAAATACATGACAGATTCAAAATTGCTGTCTTCTTTTTTTTAAAAAAATAAATTATATATTAAAAAATTTTTTTTCTTTTAGATTTAAATCAACATGAGGATGGATTATTAATTACATCACATAGTCTTGATAGAAATATTAATCATATGTATGATATATTAAAACAACTCTTATGTGAGACGAATTTTGATAATGTTGACAAATTGAGAACTATTATTTATGCTGTAAGTCAATCTGATTAATGAAATTTAATAATAAGTTAATTTAATATATTTATTTATTTGTGTGATAGAATGCAACTAATATGATGAATTCAGTTGTTGAATCGGGACATCAATATGCAAGTACTTTCGCCGGATCAAAATTAATTCCTACTATGGTAAATAAAAATTTTCAATACTGTAAATTTTTATCTTTATGATTTATTCAATTATATTCCTATTACAATAGAGTAAAGCAGAGATTTATGGTGGTATGACACAAGTACATTTTATGAACAAACTAGCAGCTAATGAAGATTTTGATACTATAATTCAAAAATTGAAGGTAAATTTCATTGAAAAAGATTTTACTTGTTAATAATGTATGTATCAATTTACTAAATATAATATATTTTAGGAAATTTCCGAATACGTGTTAAGTAAACAATCTTTAAGAGTAGCAATTACTTGTGGTTCAGAGAATGTAGATCAAAATATAAATGCATTAAGTAACTTCTTAATTGAATTACCTGAAAAAAAAATATCACAGAGTAATGAACAAGTGAGTTAATTATTAGAATTCATATCCACTTAAAAAATAATATTTGGTTTTTTTTTGTTAAATATATTTTTTTAAAAAAAAACTGCAATTTTTCATTAGTCTTCATTTCAACCAACACATGAAAAGGCATTTTTTCCTTTACCATTTGCGGTAAATTTTTGTGCTCAAGCTTTTAAAGGAGTACCTTATACGCATCCTGATGGAGCTAAATTACAAGTAAATTATTTTTCAGTATAGGTATCTTTTTCATGCTTATTTATGTTTTTAAATATATGAACATATATATATCTATTTTTAGATTCTTTCGTCGTTAATGCGTACACATTATCTTCATCGAGAAATACGTGAAAGAAATGGTGCATATGGAGGAGGTGCAACCTATAATGCAAGTACGGGTATATTTTCGTTTTTCTCCTATAGAGATCCTAAAACTTTGGAGACCTTAAAAACATATCGGGATAGTATTGAGTGGGTTGGAAAAAGAAAATTTACTCAACAAGTAAGTCTTTTATAAATGTTATTTAGCTTTTATAATGAAAGAAAAGTGTGATAAATGATTTTGTTCTTCTGTAGGAAATCGATGAGGCAAAATTATCTACATTTAAAAAAATTGATGAACCTATAAGCGTATCTGAAGAAGGGATGAATTATTTCACAGGAAAGATAACAGATGAACAAAGACAAAAGTAACTTTTAATTATTCAATTTTTAAATTTATTTTCCCTCTAAGAAAAAAGACTTAAACATTGAATTTTCGTTTTATAGACGACGCGAGCAATTACTTGCTGTAACAGAAGATGATGTTAAAGAAGTCGCCAAGATTTATTTAGAAAAACAAGAAAAAGAAAATTTGAATTCCATCGCTATTATTGGTGAAGGTAAACCTGAAATATCAAATGATAAAGAATGGAAATTTTATGAATTAAGTACTGAAGATGAAAAAAAATGAGTATAACAAATATTTAGAAAGCGAAAGAAAAGAAAAGAAATAGCACAAGTTCTTAAAAATAATTATTAAAGACTGCCACGATAATGCAAATATCATGAATGTATATTCCAAAGAAAACAAAATTTTATCCTAATATAAGCTCAATTTCAAGTTTAATTTATCGTTTGCTCCTTGTTTTCTCCTCTCTCTTGGTTACTACCTATTATTTTTTTTTTTAAAAAAAAAAAGCATTCTCATTTATCAAAAAAATATACAGTAATAAATATTCCCAAGTTTTTTTAATGTTATATGTAGAGTGATTGGAAAAAAAGCACTTAGTTCAACAGTATTTTTTTCATTTTAAAAGATAAAGAGATTATTAACAATTGCATAAAATGGAAAATAAGCCGATGAATAATAACAAACCCACCGATTTAACCTGTAATTGAGAGAAAGAACCTGAGAAGACAATGAAAGCATTGTATTTATTAATGTAAACGAAATAAAGAATCTTATAATTGAAGCAGTTGAATTAATATAATATTTATAATAGTAATGTTAATTATAAAGAGAGAAACAAGGTAACATTCTGTTAGAGTCGCTTGCTCAAAAGTTAGTCACTGCACAATTTTTTGTTAATTTCGGAAGGTTATAAAGCTATTTTTCTTTTTAAATCAAATAATTGACTCAACTTTCTACACTTTAGATATCAAAAATGTTATTGGAAGAAGAGAATTATTATATACTACAGTGACACCTCTATAAGTGTACGCAATATATAAATTCTCTTGGGCCTGGTCCCAACTTATAAGAGCTCTTAATATTTTACTCCATAAATGCACACCCTCACTAAGTATACATTCTAGTATTATTTTTTTACTATGGTCCCAAGGGGGGTGCACTTATAGAGGTGTCACTGTATATGATTGTATATATTTTATATTCAAAATTTTTCAGTAAAGAAATCAAAAAAATGAACAAGGCTTGAGGAACTTTAAAGAACGTCGTGAATTAGTATGCCGATCTTTACTTAGTTAAGTTTTATTAAATGAAAAGAAACAGTTAATTGTTGCCATAAAAATAATCCATTCTAAGGTTCTCTTCCACCCAACCCCTCTCATTAATAAATTTATCAACCAATTTCCATATAATCTCTAATTCAACATAACTTAACTGACCATCCAATTTTAATTCAAGTAAAAAAGGCATCCAATAATTCACCCATAAGTTGTTCCAAAATATAGCAAATATAATACCTAAAAGCATACCCATTAATACTTGGGCTGTTGTATGATGACCTAATTCAATTCTAGACCATAATATCAACAAAGCTATTATAAAAACTAGTAAAAAAGAAAATAATTTAACTGAAGAAGATGAATTAGTAGTTACATTAAATAATTGAAGGGATATGAAAGTTGCAAAATAAATTATTATTGCAGAATGTGAAGATGGCATTCCATAAGATTTTCTTTGTTTTATTGTAATAGATTGCGAAGTTGGGATGGTTACGTGATATGGACGAGGTTGTCGAATTATTTGTTTTAATATACTAACTGAAAAAAAAAACGAAATAATTATATATTTAAAGATATTTGTTTTTTTTTTCGATTTTTTTTTTTTCGATTAAATTACCTGTTATTTTCGTAAACACACCACCTGCTATAGTAAACACAACATGAAAAGTTCTTATATAATTTAATAAACACAATATCAGTATGGAAACCCATATTTTAGTCTATTAAAATAAATATCCATTAGAAGCAAATTTAATTTACACAAACACACAATTATAAATAGTAATAACAATTCTCATTACATGTTCCAAGAAAAATAACAATGACATGATTCTAACGATTCTAACCGCATATAAAATTATTTTTGGTATGTAAATCTAGTTAAGTATATTTATACAGTACAACCAATTTGACTAATCCTAATTTAGTACAGATATTTTAACACAATTACATGTTCGAGTGTTATTGCCCAGGAAGATATGCCGGTTAGATCAAAAAATTTATTAGACAATCACTAAAGTATGCCATTTATTCTATTTATTCTTAAATAATTTCCTCTGCGAATTTCTTGTTATATACATATTTAACAATTTTCATTTACACGACCTAAAAGATATGACAATTGTAAGTTTTAGAGTGGATATAAAATAGTGAATTTGTTTATGTTTAATAATAGTAAAAAAAAAGAAAATACATATAATAAAACTGTTATATGACATTAAAGTCACATGATTTAAATAAATTTTACATAGGATAATACATGTATTTTTAAATATCAGATATAGATTCGGGGATTTGTTAAACATAATTGTAAAATTGGTATGGTCCGCGATTAATTTTATTTTAAGAAAAAATTTTTTTTTTTTGTTAAATCCTAAAAATGCCCAAGAGATTTTAGGAATTCAAATCAATTTTCATTTTCATTTTTTTTACATTTTTGTATTTTAAAAGAAAAGTTAAAATCAGAATACCTTTATTTAGTTTTCTATTATCCTCCCTTAATTTGAATTATCCAACGATTTCCGTGTAACTCGAGGATGCAAGATTAGAAAATAGAAAGAATTTATGCAGAATAATACAAAATATTCAAATATATACAATATTTTACAGTAAAAACTAAATAGTTCTCGGTTAAATAAAACCACTAACGTGATGTTCAAAGATGAATAGAACAGAATCGGGCTAGCAAAAGCATAAATGCAGTACGTGCTTTCCATATTTTTAAAAGAAGACACTCATTTAATCTAACAATTACTTTCCAAAAAAACAGAAAAGTGATAAATATCACTATCACTTTTCGTTATTGTAAGCTATATTGATCTTATTCTGTTTCTATGGAGGTAATGGGATATTTCTGGTTCAATTCGGGTTGAACAACCCAAAAAAATCTGGGAGAAAAAGGTTAAAAGAATTTACGAAATTGAATACTAGAGATAGGTTTTTTAGGCTAATTATATTTATTATAATAATCAATTTTCATCAAAATCATTCTAAAGCAACGCTTTATGGCAAACAAAAAGAAAGCAATTAGTATATTACTTAAACTGTAAGAAAAGTAAAAGTATTCAAAGAAAACGAAGAAAAAAAAGCGTTATTAAAGTTGAACCCCGATTTCATCGGAATGAATGAAAGAAATCACTAAATGCACTTGTATTATATCTATTATGAGCATTCGTTTTCTTTTGTCCCAACGACCCTGACAGATTCTGGTCTCGGTAATTAGTTTGATAGCAAACAAACGAATATCATTAAGCAAATTTGTACGAGTTCTTTTTTATTCGATCAAATTCTTATATTCTTATATGCTGAAAAGCTAGTAATGGATTTTATAACAATTGTGACACAAATTTAGAACGTTTTTTAAATCACTTCATTTCCACGAGAAGAAAAGTCCTTCGTTTAGGAACACCATTTAATTGTTCTTTCTTCTTTTTTATGTCTCTTAAAAAAGTTAATGTACTAATTTCTCTAACATTTCCTCTTTCATCTTAGGAATAGATTTTAATGTAAACTATTTCAAAATTCAGGTCTATATATGTTATTGTCAATAAGGTTGTTGCATGAAAATATCAATTTCTTGTGTTACAATTTCGGATTACACAAAATTTTTCAGGAAAAAAAGTTCTTGGCAGATGAAAATGCATGGAAACATGAAAACATGTAACAACAAAGAATTTTCTTGTAATCTAACTTTAAATATTGGTTTTGATGCATGATGTCGATATTTAATGGAAAGTTAAATTGTTTTGGAGTCGATCAATTCTTAATATTTCATACAACGTTTCATTGTATTTCTCGGATATAGCCAAATGAATAGTTACATCTAGAATTCGATAATTTCTTTTGTGAGTGCAGGGTAACTTTCTCCGAAGTTTTAAGCTCCGGTTAATGATAAGATTAATTATTGTATACATTATGTGCACAGAAATTCTTCACACAACACACACCCGAACATGCATATAAAGTAGTTTATTAAACAATTTCTAATATATTCTCGGTAATAAATTCTTAAATTAGAGTGTTGTACTATGTTTGAACCGACATATTTCTTTGTGGCATGCATAACTTTTCCTCATTATATATAATTGGTAGTTGGAAGATACATCCCCAAAATTTTGTTCCCAGACAAATTCTCAACTGATAAACATGGCCGAAAAATTGGGTAAGAAGACAGCTATTAAAACTACTGGAAAGTTGGACAAGAAAGAAACGAGCAAACTATCAAGAAGACCTTCTGAAAAATTGAATAAGAAGGAAGTTAGAAAAACTACAAATGCAGCTGATAAACTAAACAGAACAGAAATTAAAAAGGTAACCGGTGTAACCTTAATTTTAGAGATGGATGTTCATATTTTCAAGATAATAACTTCGTTTTTTTATAACTGCAATAGATTTTTAACACATTCGATTATAATGGTAACGGTATCCTGTCCCTTGCCGAAATTGATAAAGCTGTTATTGAAATTTACCCACATCTTGCTGAAGACAAGCCTGCCATCATGCGTGCTTACAAAGCTGCTGATACTTCACAGGTTTGTCTAGTTTATTTCGTAATTTATTTATATATTGAAGAATAACACTTCTGATATTCAAAATTTACTAGGATGGTTTTATTGATTTCAAAGAATTCGGACGCCTCATAGATCTCCTTCATTATTACAACGACCTGTTTCAGATATTTAAGAAGCTTGATATAGATAATGATAGACGTGTTGATTTTGATGAGTTCAAAAAGGGATATGAGCTTATGGGAATAAATGGAGGTCCGGATGAAGAGCTTAAAGCAAAGTTTGATGAGATTGATACAAACCAAGGAGGTCATATTCTTTTTGATGAAGTAAATGAAATTTCTATTTTTAACTAATAAAATCTTCAAAAAAAGTCTAGTTTATTTGAAATTAATTCTTCTATGTTTGATTTATTCAGTTCTGCATTTATGCTGCAAAGATAAAATTGAGATCTGAAATACCTCAAGATGCACAAGAAACTCAAGAAATTCAGAAAGCTCAAACAAAACCTTCTGAAAAATCGGATAAAAAAGAAATCAAAAAACCTTTAAGAAGACTTTCTGAAAATGTAAAATCGGATAAGAAAGAAACAAAACCTTTAAGAAGACTACTTTCTGAAAATGGAAAATCGGATAAGAAAGAAATCAGCAAACCTTTAAGAAGACTTTCTGGAAATGTAAAATTGGACAAGAAAGAAACAAGCAAACCTTTAAGAAGACTTTCTGGAAATGAAAAATCGAACAAGAAGATCTCCAGCAAGACTATAAATTCGGTTACCAATACAGACAGAACCGAGATTAAAAAGGTAACCAATGTAACTTTAATTTAGAGACGAGTGTTTCATATCCTTCAAATTACTAATTTCATTTTTTTGTACAATAGATTTTTGACACATTCGATTATAATGGTAACGGTATACTGTCTCTTGCTGAAATTGATAAAGCTGTTATTGAAATTTACCCACATCTTGCTGAAGACAAGCCTGCCATCATACGGGCTTACAAAGCTGCTGATACTTCACAGGTTTGTTCCGGAGATTTCGTAATTTATTTACATATTGAAGAATAAAATTTCTAATGTACAAAATTTATTAGGATGGTTTTATTGACTTCAAAGAGTTCGAACGCCTCATTGATCTTCTTCATTATTACAATAACCTATTTCAAATATTTAAGAAACTTGATATTGACAATGATAGACGTATTGATTTTAATGAGTTCAAGAAGGGATATGAGCTCATGGGAATAAATGGAGGTTCGGATGAAGAGCTTAAGGCAAAGTTTGATGAGATTGATACAAACCAAGGAGGTTATATTCTTTTTGATGAGGTAAAAGAAATATAAATCTCTCTTATTAATTAATAAGACTTCAAAAAAACTAGTGCATTTAAAATTAATTCTTATATCAAATATTCGGTTTTAGTTTTGCATTTATGCTGCAAAGATAAAATTGATATCTGAAATACCTCAAGATACACAAGAAGCTCAAGAAATTCAGAAAGCTCAAACAAAGCCTTCCGAAAAATCGGATAAAAAAGAAACCAGCAAACCCTTAAGAAGACTTTCTGAAAATGGAAAATCGGATAAAAAAGAAATCAGCAAACCTTTAAGAAGACTACCTTCTGAAAACGGAAAATCGGATAAGAAAGAAATCAGCAAACCTTTAAGAAGACTTTCTGGAAATGTAAAATTGGAGAAGAAAGAAACAAGCAAACCTCCAAGAAGACTTTCTGAAAATGTAAAATCGGACAAGAAGATTTCTAATAAAATTACAAAACTAGACAGAACCGAGATTAAAAAGGTAACCGGTGTAACTTTAATGTTAAAGACGGATGTTTCATATCCTTCAAGGCACTAACTTCATCTTTTATTATTACAACAGACTTTTGACACATTCGATTATAATGGTAACGGTGTCCTGTCCCTTGCTGAAATTGACAAAGCTGTTATTGAAATCTACCCACATCTTGCAGAAGACAAGCCTGCCATCATGCGGGCTTACAAAGCTGCTGATACTTCACAGGTTTGTTCCATCAAAGATTTCGGAATTTATCTTAACATATTAAAGAACAACGTTATAATGTAAAAAATTTTACTAGGATGGTTTTATTGACTTCAAAGAATTCGGGCGCCTTATCGATCTTCTTCATTATTACAACAACCTGTTTAAAATATTTAAGAAGCTTGACATAGATAATGATAGACGTATTGATTTTGATGAGTTCAAAAAGGGATATGAGCTCATGAAAATGAATGGAGGTTCGGATGAAGAGCTCAAGGCAAAATTTGATGAGATTGATACAAACCAAGGAGGTTATATTCTTTTTGATGAGGTAAAAGAAATATCTATTATTAGTAAATAAGGTCTTAAACCGCGTACATATCCGAAACTAATTCTTCTATTTTAAATATTTGGTTGTTTTCAGTTCTGCATTTATGCCGCCAAAGTAAAATTGATATCTGAAATACCTCAAGATGTACAAGAAACTCAAGAAATTCAGAAAGCTCAAACAAAATCTTCCGAAAAATCGGACAAGAAAGAGACTAGCAAAACTTCTGGAAAATTGAATAAGAAAGAAATTAGCAAACCTTTAAGAAGACTTTCTGGAAATGAAAAGTTGGACAAGAAAGAAACATGCAAACTTTCTGGAAAATTGGACAAGAAAGAAGCCAGCAAACTTTTAAGAAACCCTTCTGTTAAAAAAGAAACAAGCAAACCTTCTGGAAAATTGGACAATAAAGAAACAAGCAAATCTTCGAGAAGACTTTCTGAAAAATTAGATAAGAAGGAAGTTGGAAAAATTAGAAATACAGTTATCACAACAACTCATAAATTAGATAGAACAGAAATTAAAAAGGTAACTGGTATAATATTATTTTAGAGTAGGATCACATTCTTCAAATTACGAACATTATCTTTTATTACCGCAATAGATATTTGACATATTCGATTATAATGGTAACGGTGTCCTGTCCCTTGCTGAAATTGATAAAGCTGTTATTGAAATTTACCCGCATCTTGCTGAAGACAAGCCTGCCATCATGCGGGCTTACAAAGCTGCTGATACTTCGCAGGTTAGTCTTGTAGATTTAGGATTCAATATATTGAAGAATAACATTCCTAACGTACAAAATTTACTAGGATGGTTTTATTGACTTCAAAGAATTCGGACGCCTCATTGACCTTCTTCATTATTACAACAATCTGTTTCAAATATTTAAGAAACTTGACATAGATAATGATAGACGTGTTGATTTTGATGAGTTCAAAAAGGGATATGAGCTCATGGGAATAAATGGAGGTTCGGATGAAGAGCTTAAAGCAAAATTTGATGAGATTGATACAAACCAAGGAGGTTATATTCTTTTTGATGAGGTAAATGGAATTCTTATTATTAATTAATGGAGTCTTCAATAAATATGGTGTATTTGAGATTAATTCTTATGTTAAATATTTTGGTTGCAGTTTTGCACTTATGCTGCCAAGATAAAATTGATGTCCAAAATACCTCAAGATGCACAGGAAGCACAAGAAATTCAAAAAGATCAAATTGAGTCTGCCGAAAAATTAGACGAAAAAGAAATTAGTGAAACTTCTATAAAATTGGACAATAATGATACGAGCAAACCTTCTGAAACATTAGATGAAAAGACAGCTGGTAAAACTACCAGTGCAGTTACCACTACTAATAAACTAGATCGTACTGAAATTAAAAAGGTAACTAATGTAACTTTAATTTTAGAGGTGATACTTCATATCCTTTAAGATACTGACTTCATCTTTAATTATGCAATAGATTTTTAATATCTTTGACTATAATGGTAATGGTATTCTATCCCTTGCTGAAATTGATAAAGCTGTTATTGAAATCTACCCATACCTTGCTGAAGACAAGCCTGCCATTATGCGAGCTTACAAAGCTGCTGATACTTCACAGGTATGTCTTTTTACATTTATATTTTATTTTACATATTAAAGCCTAACATTTGACATGCAAATTTTGCTAGGATGGTTTTATTGACTTCAAAGAATTTGGACGTCTCATCGACCTTCTTCATTATTACAATAATCTGTTTCAATTATTTAAGAAACTTGACATAGACAATGATAGACATATTGATTTTGACGAATTCAAAAAAGGATATGAGATCATGGGAATAAATGTAGATTCAGATAAAGAGCTTAAGGCAAAGTTTGATGAAATTGATATAAACCAAGGAGGTCATATTCTTTTTGATGAGGTAATTGAAGTCTCTATTATTAATTAAGTAAGATCTTCAAAAAGCTAATGTATCTGAGACTAATACTTATAATTTTTTCAGTTCTGCACTTATGCTGCCAAGATAAAAATGATATCTGAAATACCTCAGGATGTACAAGAAGTTCAAGAAACTTAAATATTATTAAAACCAATAAATTGTAATTAAAAACTAATTCTTTTACTAAATTAAAAGAAAAAAATTTTTGTTATATATAATATATACTGTAATAAATATTATCTATTTTCTTATTTATATATCAATAAATATTTCTATTATTATTAAACAATTATTAAATTTATAATAAATAAAACTTAAAATAAATTTTTTCAGCTTTTAAAAATTTGTCAAAAATAAAATTTTAACTTTTTATCAGAATTTATAATACTATTACATAATTTAATTAATTTTACTTAATTATATTTTAAAATACTAAAATTTTATATTTTCTAATTGTAAGTTATTTTAGAAATTCTTATTAAATAATATAAATAGATATTATTGATTAATTTTAGCATTAATTTTAGCAAAATTAGTTATAAGTTATTTTATTAATATTATATTATATAAGTTTGATCTTATATATAATTTTATAATTGCAGCAAATATTATATATATTTGTAATAAAAATATAATCAGTAAAATTTGCTATTATTTATTATTATATATTGGATTTTAAATAATATAGTAGTTTATTTTTTATAGAAATTAATATTTTATCATAGTAAAAAAAGCCATGTACTGTATGGATGATCGCTAGTTGGGAATTTGTACGAACCAAAAATAAAAAATTATACATGTACTGCTGTAAATAATAAATATTTTCATTTCAATAGAATAAATGATAATAAATAAATGGTTATATTAATTACTCAATTTTCACAAAACATATTTTTAAAAAAAGCTCAGTAAATCGGTTCAGTTTTCAGTAATTACTGATACCGATCAATTCAGTTCGGTATCAGTTTTTGCAAAAACTGAACTGAACTGAACCGATCAGAGCCCTATTCGCAATAGTGAAATGGGTATAGTGAATTCGTTGTTACAGTGAATTAAAAAAGCATTGTATATTATATAACAATTTATATATATTGTTTAGAATTCAGTTTATATATAATTTACTAAAAATTAAAATTGATATTAATTTGAATTAATTTAAAATTCACCCTAGGTTATTTTTTAATTTTAATCACCTTAGGTGAAATTCACCCCTTTGATTTGTGTTACATTTCACAATTATTTATTTATTTATTTATCACGTTATGATTATAAAAAAAAAAAATTTCTTTTCTAAAAAAAATTTTAAAAGCTTTGTTATTAACACATATTAAACACTTTGACTCAGTTTTGTTACTTATATCTTGTGAAGCTACAGGTATTTTATACAATTCATATATTTATTTCTAAATTTCTTTCGTGTTATATTTTCTAACTTCAGAGCGTAATTTCGTCACTTTAGTCAAATGAAATCAACTTTCTTTATTAAGTGATAGTTGTTCAGCTATGTCGAAACTACTTATATCTTGAATATCATAAGCGTAGGTATAATACTTGTGGAAATATTCATGTTTTTTATAATAACAATAATTTTTGAATTTTTCATTTTCCGTTTTTTAATTTCAGAGCGTAATTTCACTACTTTAGTCAAATGAAATCGACTTCCTTTATTATGTAATTGTTGTTCACCGATGTCGAAACTACTTATATCTTAAATTTCATGAGCGTAGGTATAATACTTGTAGAGATATTCGTGTTTACGTAATGGCAATAATTTTCGAATTTTTCATTTTTTGTTTATTAAATTCAGAGCGTAATTTTACTACTTTACTCAAATGAAATCGACTTTCTTTATTAAGTGAACATTGTTCAGCAAGGTGGAAAACACTTATATTTTAATTTTCATGAGTGTAGGTATTATGTTTGCAAAGATATCTGTATTTTTCATAATGGTACTAATTTTCAAATTTTTCTTGCTAAGAATATAATTTCACCATTTTGGTCAACATTTTAGCTATCAAATTTTATAATGCTTTAATAAAGTAAAAAGGAAAATTTTTAATTTATAATTTATTAAAAAATCAGTTTTACTTTACATGTATAAATTTTAAAAATCATATGACCAGGTGATTTTCACCTGGGGTGAGCGTTAAAATTACCCAATTATATATCTTTTTTTGCTAAAATTTAAAAACTATTGTTTGTAAATACTTTAGTATTTAATAATTCAATTTCAATAAATTTTTTTTTAAATTGTAGAATCCAATTATAAATGCTGTCAGAATTATTATTATGGTTATGACATATATTATAATACTGTAATTAAATGCTATAAATCATAAATATTGTAATATCATAATGCTGCAATTTAATTTGATACTATAATATCATAATTTCTTAATTTTAGCTAAGTTTATAATACCGATTAACGATTATTATGTCTTTTGTATTTTGAATGCGTGGGATGCACAATATTGATCCTATGCTGATTTTTCACAGAAATGGGTCTTTTCAACTAACAACCAATTACAAGACATTTCTTTCTTCTGTCTATTATTCATACTCATTTTCATATTTAAAATTTATTGTCGTCTCAAAAGAGAGAAATAACAAATAAGTTTGTCATAATGATGCCTACTTGTATAATAGTTGTTTACTTTAATAAACCTCTATTAATAAAAAAATTTTTTGGCAAAACTTCCTAAACTTGGTTCAGGAAAAACACGTGGTCAAAACTTCCTAATTTCAGTTTAGGAAGTGACATCATAACCTACATATTTTTCTTAGCAGAATGTATATGTACTAATGGACTATTGAATATTTCATATTTTCTATAGAATATTATTGATCATGACATCTAAGGTTGAATCATTGTGACAGCGTATTATTGAACTTAAGGCTGAGAACGCAAAGTTGAGGCAGATTATTGAAGAGAATGCTGTAGCCATAGATACTGAAGTAATCGCATAATATGGAGGAATAATATGGAATAAAAGATCAAACGATAGAAAGTCACATGATTGGATAAAATTAACCGGAAAGGATAAACTTTTAGGAGAAGGAATGATCTACATGATGTAATGTTTATTAAATGATTAACGGAGAACCAATAGATCAAGTGGGGAGTTGATCGATGTGGCTTAGCAACCAGTTTATCAAGTTCAACAATAGGAACAATTAGGAG